GTCCGCAGCCTCTGCAGCGCCTGTTCGATCCCGGCCGGCCAGGAAGATTCCCACATGGTACAATAGACCTCTCTTGTCTTGTCTGCTGCTCCCCTCAGCAGTGTCTTCGGTCCGTCTGCCTGTTCTGCTCCCTGCTCTGTCTCCGGTGAGGTCTCACACACCCCCGCGCCTCTGACTGTACCTCCGTTCTTGTATAAATAAATAAATATTTTAAAAAATAAAACTTTATTTGTTTATTTTATAGCAACAGGGAGTACAAATGGAGAGTGGGTTGAAGGAATGGTAGTGGCAGGGAATGACACATTATATTTAGAGGATGTGGAAATCCAGTTGACTTCTTGAGCATGCACTATGTGAGAATTGAAGCACAGGAGTGGGATGCAGTAGGTAAAAGAATGCTTAATGTTAAAATCAGACCCCTAAACATGACCACAGTTTCAACTGGAGAAATGGAAATAGGGAACTACTATTATCAACTCTTGTTTTTACTGTTAGTAAAAGTTAATGTCTTTATGTCTCAGAATATTTATCTGCAGAGCAAGAGGAGTAGAGCATATATTTGAAAGGAGTTCTTTTTGTATTTTCTTAAAATCTGTGCAATTTCTGGGCCTCCCCGGTGGCGCAGTGGTTGAGCGCTGGGTTGCGAAGCTGCCCGCGGCCTCTGCGGCGCTGGTTCGATCCCTGGCTGCTCCCCGGCCACTGGAGGAGGGTCCCACATGGCGTGCAGACCTCTCCTGCCGCCCGCTGCTCCCTTCAGCAATGTACTTCGGTCCTTCTGCCTGCTCTGCTCCCTGCTCTGGCTCTGGTGAATTCTCTCACCCTCCTGCGCTTCTGACTGTACCCAGTGCATGTATAAACAAACAAACAAACAAACAAATAAATAAAAAACATGCCTCTATAAAAAAAAAAATCTTCAAAAAAAAAAAATCTGTGCAATTTCTATATTGTAGAAATCCTATCTGTAGGTAATCTGAAAATTTACATAATTGGCCACAAGGGGGAGAACTGTAATTCCACATTAAGCTATTTACTACATTATGAAATATCTAAAAGTATTTTGCTGTATGAAGTTGGTAATAGGCTATCTTATTACCCCGTCCTCGTAGAAGTTGGGGGAATTCTATTTCTAGGGATAGATTTAACTGAATTGAAATGTGGGTTTGTGTTGCTGAAGTTATGCTAAAGTCACTGAACGTAACTTTTTTTTTTTTGTATTAAATAATAATTCTCCATGAAGGAATCCAGATGCCTCTAATTAAAATGAAACTAGCAGACAATTTTAAATTCACCCTGGGAGGCTTTTTCCTTCCAAATAACACTATTTTAGTTATCCTTCCAGGAAACTATAACCTTCCTGAAAGTGCTCGGATGCTCTGAAATAGGCATAAGATTAGTGTGTCAGTCTATTGTAAAAGTACCCATATCAAACAAAAGGATTAGAATGGTGCTGGCCTCACCATTTAAATGGTAGATGTTCATTGAATATACGTGAGTATATGTGGTATGAACATTTAATGTGTATTCAGTGTTGAAATACTGGTTTTTGGTTTGGGTTAATTCCTGTACTCTTGTTTTATATAAAGTTTTATTGTAAGGAAACTATAAATGCTATTGGGTTGAAAATTACCTCTTGGGCAGCCCAGGTGGCGCAGTGGCTGAGCACTGGGCTGCGAAGCTTCCCGCAGCGTTTGCAGAGCTGGTTGGATCCCTGGCCGGTGAGGGTCCCACAGACCTCTGTGCGCAGACCTCACCTGCCACGCTCGCTTGCTCCCCTCAGCAGTGCATTTCATCAGTCTGCCTGTTCTGCTCCCCGCTCTGGCTCTGGTGAATTCTCTCACCCTCCCGCGCTTCTGACAGTACCCAGTGCTTGTATAAATAAATAAATAAATCTTATATTAAAAAAAAAAAAGCCGTGGGAAAAAAGAAAATTACCTCTTGAGTTTCCCTGAGGCTTAATGAGTCATTATTTTTGGATTTGATCAAATTGAATCACACTTATAAGGTATGGATATTTCACTTCTGTATTTTATAATATATGCTGAAACATGCATAACTAAATGTGTTGTCTTCTTTAAAGACATGATATTACTGTGATATTCGTGGCCTACATAGAAATCTCATTAATGAAAATTCCTGGAAACATATTTGTGTGTTCCCCCTTAGAGACAATGTCTGTCACACTGTTTTCAATATGTCCAGTGACAGTGGACCTTCCTAAGAGAGTTAGAGCAACATCTAAAAACATGTTTCCATGAAAAAATGTTGACTATTAAGGTCACCAATTAAGGTGGAGTATATATAATTTGGAGATGAAAAAAAATACATTAGGCTAAAATATTTAAGCTCCTTTAGATTTATAAACCTCATAGTTCATTTTCTGTTAAAGACTCACAAAATGTTTCCAGCAATGTTGTCACTAGTATAAGTATAAACCCTGCTAAGGTGACTACTAGAAAGGCTAACTTTCATTTGTATAAATGCATTCTGTCATGCCCCCCTAAAATAACTAAGCATATAAGTAATTCAATTTATTTAGACTTGATTTTCCAATTATTTTCATAGTTGATACTTTGTGAATCTTTAAAAGTAAAGAAACAGTATACTAAGTAAATCAAATATATTATTTAGGTATTTAACATTCTTTAAAAATGTCTCATATTTTTAATGTTTTTCTTTGGCTTAATGTATTAATTTCTTATCAGTATTTCTCATACCAGAACGTGTTATAGACCAATAAATAATCTCTGATGCAGAGTTTGGGGGATACACATCTTACTACTACTTGTAATTCAGTGACAGCACAATGATTGATCCACTAGTAAATATTTTACTACTTGATATTTTGTAAATATTAGCTAGATGATTGAATAAATAATGTGACATAGTCTATCTATGTATATCTATCTGTCTATCTAATTTATCTGTTATCTCTCCACCCGCCATCCACCCATCCTTCAAATTGTTTCTAGACTTCTGCGTAATCATTCACGCAAAACATAGTGGGTTAAATCAAATAAACCTTTTAGGTTGTTCACAGATCTATAATTTCAACAGGGTTCAGTAGGAACAGTTCATTTTCACTGTTGAACATAGTGGCAGTTGAGTTGGCTTGAAATTCAAGGTTGTCTAGAGGCAGAAATTTGGAATCAACTCATTCACTCACTGTTGGGTGAGAACCCAAATGGGGATGTTATCTGAAAACCTGCTTAGTAAGAAGTAAGAAAGACTTTAAGAGAACAAATAAGAAAGTAATCTCTGTATGATTCTTGAATTCAGAAAACAAAACCTAAACTTTGGAAATATTTCCAAAGCTTAAATATTCTGAACTATGTAATACAGAATATAGAGGCCACTGTATAACTAAAGAACACAATAGCTTTTTGATATGACCAGGAAATACACTATCAGAAGGCATTGTATTCTTTTATGCAAAACAACTTATCAGTGATAAATGTTTGCCTGGTGCTGTGGATACAAAATGGTATACAGAAGACAGGGTTCCTGCTACTTATAAAATTAATTTCTATATGACTCCACATAAGGTAGACAAATTGGTTGTTTTTGCAATATACTTCTTATAAAGCTATTCATAGTGTGCAATTTCCATGACTAATTTCAAATTATCTCTCCCTTCCTATTCCTGAGATTAATATTTTTTGTATAATTTGGATTTGATCAAATTAAATCACACTTATAAGGTATGGATATACAATTTAAAATTTAATGAGAAAGTTTTAATAGAATTTTTCTTTTTAAAAAAATATTTATGCATACAAGAGCTGTGGTATACACCAAGGTGCAGGAGGGTGAGAGGATTCACCAGAGACAGAGTGGGGAGCAGAACAGGCGGATCCAATGAAATACATTGCTGAAGGGAGCAGCAGGCAAGACAGGAGAGGTCTGCTGCACCATGTGGGTCAGCTCCCTGGCTAGGGATTGAAATCATGCTGCAGTGATTGCAGATCATTTCATAGTGCTGAGACTCAACCCCTTGTGCCACCAGGGAGGCCCATAATGAAAAATTTTATTTTTAAAAAATTTAATTGTTTAAAGAATTAAAGATATTAACATATTGATAACCTCAATCATATTTACCTCAAATTACTTCAATATCTTATGAACAACTTTGAATTTAATGGAAGAAATATTGTTGTAGCATTTCAATTCCATTTCAATAAACAATAGTTTATTGATTTTCAGTCTCTGGGTAAAAACAATTTTAGTATGCAACTAAATTTTTCAAATTCAGACAATTTTGCTTCAATAATTTGATATAAGAATAAAATTTATGAAAAGATATTCCTATTTTCAAATTTTATGATACAGATTTAAATGTAGAGTGGTGTGTGTCACTTTTACTAAAACTTGAAACTTTATTCAATTTAGAAACAGGAAGAATATGTTTTAGACAAAGTAAAAAGTAACTCTTAAGGAAAAAGTATATAAAGTATAATTTTTAATTTATTAAATATTAAACACCAAATATTAATCAGCAATATGTTATGTACACTGAACTGTGAAAAAGACACAGGTAACCACCAGTGGCATATTGTAGTGACAAAATGAGTTTCCAGGTAAAAAAAGGAATAGAGAAAATGCTTATCAAAGAAGTAACACTTGTTCTAGGCTGAATGAATACAAGAGGTTAGGATGGCTGAGTAAAAACAGTTGAAAAGGGAAGGAGAAAATAAATGTTGATAGTATCAGATAGAATCCATTTAAAAATATCTACTTATAAGGTGGACTATGGGGAACCCAAACAAAAGGTCAGGAAAAAGACAAAACTTACAGATATTTTCCCCTATTCTTAGGTTAGAAGCAACTCAGGGATGGTATTTCCTCCCTAAAATTTGAACTCCCTAGAGTGGTGTGCTCTGTGGTGACACCCACCTATAGGATGTTATTATGAGAATATTTGTATCAAGTGTTTGCCCTTTAAATTTATTTTTCTTCCAAAAAGTGATTTCATCAAAGTAATGTTAACATTTGAGAATTTATTATGCACTTATCAAACCATTCCACCTATTAAAATCAGGTATTGAATTAGCATCAGAGCAAACAAATCAATTTCCAATGTTACATTTAATAAATTTCCTTTGTGTATATTGCAATGTTTTGTCCCTTTTTTGAGAAGAATAAAGGTAGAGATAGCTTCCTTTATTTAGGTAACAAATTCTTTGGGAGATTTGATCCCATCATCTCTCTGCAGTCTAGAAACGGGACGGAGCGGGCCATACAACCTCGGAATCCAGTGTGACATGTATAGGCTTCTTATACATGCTTATGAAAGTTTCTGGATCCATGAACTCTTCACTCTTGCACAGGTACTTTATTATTTGTTCTGAGAGGAGTAATTCAGGTGCAAGTTGGTGCAAGTTATCTCCTGGACCTTTAGTGCCCACTTTAACAGTCTTAAAAAGGAAAAGTGCCAGTTTATGAGTTAGGGTGAGAAACTCAGTGATCACCTCCTCTAGGGACTGCGACTGGGTCACATCATCAAGATACAGGACTGGTACATTTATTACTGAAATGTGCCATTGCATGAAGAACCTTGTTGGGATGTTATGGGACACTACTATAATTTTCATTCTTTGAATAAAAAAATTTCCTTCCTTTTTATGTTGAAGATAATCTAAAAGAATTCGGGAGAGGCTACCACTGGAGGACTCAAGGATATACAGCATAGAACTAGGATATAAAAGCAATAATCCTGTCACTATTTCTCCTAGGCGACGTTTTGAAATTGACTGAAATATTTGTTCAAAGTAATCAGAGATATCTTTTTTTTCTGTGTTTGCTGCTAACTCAGCCACTAGAAACATCCTATGAAGAAGGAATTTCTTTAGATGTAGTCTTTGCTTCTCTTCAAGTAAATGCAAGTAATTGCCACGTGGAACTTGTGGTAGTAGAGGACTTTCCAATGTCAAAGGCTTTTTGCTGTTTTTTCGGGGATGGACTGAGAAGGACATAATAAGTCCTATTACCCTTTAGAGGATTCCAGTTTTTTTTTGTTTGTTTGTTTGTTTTTTAGTTTTTCATACTATTTACATTTTCAGGATATCTCTTCAGTGATGAGCTCTTTCTTATTTTCATTTTCTTCTGGAAAATTACTGGAAAAAAATTACTCACTTAGTTTGCCACATGCTATTGAATACCAAAAGCCTTTAGCCTTTCCATTATTATCATAAACAATGTCTTTGAAATGCAAAAGAATGCACAAACAAGAATTAGAGGTTTTTTTATGTAAAAAAATGAAATAACTAATACATCCTAGAAAAGTAAAAAAACTAATGAACAGGGGTGGGAAGAATAGTGAACTTACTTTTACTTTACTCAAAACTTACTTTTGTTTACATAATTATTTTCTCCTCAGTGTTATAGTATATTCTATCTCCATCCCGTCTAGCAGTGACACATACACACACACACACACACACACACACACAGAGGCAGAGATGAAATATTTTTGTATTTATGAAAGGTAACTGTAAGTTTTATAATTTTGAATATCTGTAGGAATATATCTGCTGACAGTCATTGACAGCAATAGCAGCAGCATTAAAATGTCTTTATGTAACGGTGATTGCAGATTTTTCTTGATTTTTAAAAGTGGTATTTTTATGATAATTCCTTAATTTCTTTTATAAATTTAACTTGTCAATGATTTTTTTTTTAATTTAGGTTTCTCTTAAGTCTTAATTGGCTTGTTTAACCTTTACTCAATGCAATAAAATTTAATAATGTTTGGATAAGAACAGTAAACTGTTGAATAACAAGTTTTGATTTTTTTGTCTTATCAACAAACCTCAAAATGACTCTTATTTTTTGTTGTTATAAAAATAAAAAAAAAATCTGTTTTTCTCACTTACTCTTCTTACAAATCTTGTCTTCTCTCCAGATCAACATAACATTTATTTCTTCAAGTGCTTCTTTCTTTTACCTCCTTGAAGTCCGAAGTATCCTCCATCACTCTTCCAACTGCCAATGTCTTGGGTGCTCCCTGCTGTCCAGTGTTCTATCTGATTTCCATAATGCCTCAGTGAATCAGAATATCAGTAGTGTTAAAGGGCCAGAGTGTGCTAGCAATTCCTATTTTTTTTTTTTTAACAGGGTATTCAAACCTCAACATCCCCGTAGAGGAAATGAGGACTTCATTTTAGAATGACATCTTTAGCCAGGTGCCTTTGTAAGTCAGATGTGGAAATGTACATTTTCCAGACATATTCTTTTCCTTTTATCTCTTTCTCCACAAAAATATCTCCCTACTCTGTGTACCACTTCTGCACTAATTGAAGACTATAAGAACCCAAATCTGATTCTGTATAATGGTGACTGTTCTTATACAGTGTTAGTGTTTAAATTTTAATAGCATATAAATCATTTATCTTAAAATTGCTTTTATGTGAACTTTAAATCCTAATTTTAAAACAAGAATAGAAAATAACTGTATTTGATTTTCAAAATTAAATCTTAGAGTACTGTTTTCTTCCCTCAACTTCAAGTGTTTGTGTTTTCCAGATAAATCATCTGGCTTTTATCATATATAATGATAAATTATTCCAGAAATTAAAGACTGAGAGGAGACTTAATTCCTTAATTGTTTGATACATAAGAATTGGCTATAGTTCACAGTGCTTCATTTCATCAGTCCCTGAAATGATACACTCTTTCCAAAGGGGCACAGAAACCTTGTCATTTGCCATGTTTGGATTATTCTCACCCTCATTCTTTTTTTACTTTGCACAGTGTAATTGTGTTGACCATAACATCCTTGTAGGCCTTCTCTCCTCCCTTGGTTTCTATGACTTTGAACTTCCCTGAATTTCTCTCCAAATCTCTATTGTGGCCTAGTCCCAATCCTTCTCATGCCCAACTCTGGGCGATGCTGAGGCTTTGTGCTCATTATGTGGACTGCTCATTCTGACCTGGGAGGTTCATGTCACACTTGCCTCCAAATCTCTTGATTGACATTGCTGATTAATCATGGAGTCTTTCCTGTAAAACCCCATCTAATTTACCAGATCCTTAATTTAAGGCTCAAGACAGAGTTAACTAGTTTGTTGGGACTGACAATGATGAAAAAATGTATTTCTATCCTAGTATTTTCTCTACATAGAAGATTCTTGAATTGTAATTTAATTTATAACTCTTCCCCTTGTATGTAGCTCAACCTTTCAAATTTAAAATGGCAACATTTCAAACTATTACTTTCTGTATTAAACATATTTCCTTTAACAAATACCCCATTTATGTCTCAGTTTACTTTTTTTTTAACTCTCATTTCCCATGCCAGCATTCCTTGGTGTAATCTTTTCGTGTTTCATAAAATTTACTCTCCAATTCTGTTACTAAATTTTTACATTCAAATTGAAATATATCAAGAGATCCTGATTTTAGACTGCCTCCTTTGTAGTTCTAGCTCTTTATTTGGATTATGAGAGTTTTAAGCCACAGTCTTTCTTTAGAGATTTTATTTTTTTACCTCATCTATTCAACTAAGATCATGAAATTTTAAGAGATTTTGAACTACTGCTTCACAAACTTCAATTTACAAACACTTCCCTGAGAATTTCCTCTCAATAGAATGTTATGAGAGGGAGATTCAGAACATTACCAGATTGGTTTCTGGCACTACTCCCAATCCCCAGTGATAGATTTTACCAGAGACAAAAAATGGGGACTTGCAACTTACTGCAGGGCCTGTTAGTTAGTACTGACACTGGTCAAAGGCAGTGGAAGAATTATAAGACTTTGCCATCCAGAAACATGTACAAACTCAAATTAGCCTTTCATACATAGATTAAATGACACCAATTTATTCTTTATGACACCGTTCTTAGTGTAGCACAGTCTTTTTCTTATTTTTGCCTCTTTATATAAAAAGAGCCCACATGTGATTTTCTGCCATGTATATTTTGTTTCCCTTTTTTTCATGTATTTTGGTTCTTCCACTAATAGAAAAATGATTCATTTTAATTCCCCAAAATATCACCAAAGTCAAAATATCACCAAGTCATCCCTTCTTCATAAATGTGATAGTCTCTTAATTGGCCTTGGTATAAAACCTATTTATACCTGTGAAATTGTCATTTCTGTAAGTTAAAAATTGTCTGATGCTGACAATTTTGTGTGGTGCAACCTAACACATTTAAAAACAATAGTTTTTATTCTGCATTTTCTCAATGTATTTTTCCACTTCTTGATAGATTTTCAGTTGTGGGATTGCTTTCTTCTAAATTTAGTTTCATTGCCACATTGCTATCTGAAATACTTATAAGACAGTTTACTTTGTTTTCTTGTTTTCCTGTTTTCCATCAACCATACTTTTAAGTGTCAAGAATAAAACTTTGACAAGGTAGTAATGGAAACAACACAGTTTGGAGAGTTTTTGATTGTCTGGTATATGTAATTACAATAGTATGCTCTCCTTTTAATGACCACTTAACATTTGAGTTTCCAGAAGCCACGGCCCTTGTATTTTATCCACTAAGGGACAGTGACTCCAGAAGAATTTTTCTGTCTACGCAATGGGAAAAAAGACATCAACGTCCTGCCCTCCGCCCCGTGTCATTTGTTTAGATATCCAAGTTCAAACAACTGACAAGTGGCTGAACTTGGATTGAAATGTAAGATTCCAGAGGAGTCCTCTTGCAATTATTCTACTTCTCCACCCTGTTATTCAACTTATTTCTCATAAATGAGGAACACATACTTGTAACTCATGTCAGGTGGTACACCTTATGGTTTTATTCTCCGGAATCAAATGTTTCTGAAAAACTAGATTCCTAAAGTTCTTTTGTCTATATAAGAAAGAACGGATTTAAAAGACTAAATACTATTTATCAGTTATTTACATTATGCTGTGCACTTAATGCTTTTCATGTATTAATTTAATATTTACAACAAACTGAGGTAAAGATTTTGTCCACAATTTATAGAAAAGTTGGCTTAAACATGATGCATTTAAATACCTTGCACGCAATTTAAGCAACCTCAGAAGAATCTAGCTGGTCTGTTTAATTCAGGTAAAGAGAAGATTACCCCTTCTCTGTCCCCATCATAACAAAGTCATTCTTTGGTCCTCTTTGATATAAATTTCTCTGAGAATGGAGGATAGCTTATAGTTTGTATGAAGAAAATTGAAAGGAGAAATCCTACATGATACCTGTGATCCAAAATGATCTTTCATTTTTATTCATTCATCCTAGATATCTCTATACTTTTGATATGCTAGGTAAATCTTTGGCATTATGAGAAACACAAACATGTAAAACCCTGGTCCCTAAATTTAGGACTTTAAAGTCTAGTAGGAATGATGAGATGTTCATGAGTCATTGGAGGGCAAGGTAAAACACAAGTAAACATAAACATAAGCAAAACATAAAACAGGTGAATGATGTGTTGGGGCATGGGAAATTTTCCTCATTCCATCTGGGTTCTTTTAGAGCTGGATAGATGAAAAAAAAAAAAATTTCAAGATTTATTTAGGGCCTCCCCTGGTGGTGCAGGCAGGTGAGCGCAGTGCTGTGAGGCTGTCCACAGCCTCTGCAGCGCTGGTTCAATCCCGGCCGATAGGCGAGGGTCCCACATGGCGAGGCAGACCTCTCCTGTCTCACCTGCTGCTCCCCTCAGCAGTGTATTTCTTCAGTCTGCCTGTTCTGCTCCCCACTCTGTCTCTGGTGAATCCTCTCACCCTCCCACGAATCTGGCCTGTACCCCGGATCTTGTATAAAGAAATAAATAAATCTTTAAAAAAAAAGATTTATTTATACAAGAACTGGGGTACAGGTCAGAGGTGTGGGGGGGTGAGAGGATTTACCAGAGACAGAGAGGGGAACAGAACTGGCAGACTGACAGAAATACACTGCTGAGGGGAGCAGTGGGCAAGACAGGAGAGGTCTGCTGCACCATGTGGATATCGCCCTGGCTGGGAATCGAACCCACACTGTAGAGGCTGCAGACAGCTTCACAGGGCTGCGCTCAACCCGCTGTGCCACTGGGGAGGCCCCAGGTGAACAAATTTTCATCATTTGACTAAGAAGTCAAAACTTAGTGACATGTACGTATGGAAAATTTACAGGGTTGCAAGTTCCAGAGAAGAATGGAGAGGACCAGGATAGTTATTACTTGTTTAGAGACCTGAAACATTGAGGAGATTACAGGTTACTTGATACCTCTCCCCCAGGGTGACTTTGCCCTTTTTAATTTCCTCCTAGGCATAAGTGTGCACACTTGCACATGCGCAAACGTACACACATACACACACATACCGCACCCATGCTCCAGGAGGAGGGGGTGATGGTAAAGGAGGGAGTGATCTCATTTCTATTCTGAGAGTAAAGATGAAATTCTTAGAGAAAGAGGATATGTTAACTCTTAAACCTGCGTAATACCCCCTAAGCTGTTTTTCTAGGTCATCAAACTGGGAACAGTCATTGTTTCTTTGATTAGGGAAGGGGTAAGACTCAGGCAAGGACAAAAGCTCCTCAGCCTCCAGTGCCCTCAGGGCTCTCCACACAGAACAATCTGCAACTTTTAAATAAGGCCAATGGATTTCATTGGCCCAGGATTGACCTCTAGTCCCCATATTAAGGAGAGGAGCCCTAGAAGTCTATCTGACTCTTTTTGGGAATACTGACCCCACATTGTTCAGTGAGCTAGAAGAGTGGCTCGGCTCGGGTTTCTTGATAACCTTAATTAAAGGCTTCTTATTTGAACCTGATCTTCAGAGCAGCGGAGTTCAGGAGCAGTTTTGTGAATGTTTCTTGAGTTCATTCCTTTAGAATGTCAGGCCATGCATTTACTGGAATATTAGATGCCACTTTAAGCTTTCACTTATACTCATGTATAAAAGAAACAGAACACTCTAAATTACCTTGTAGGGTAAGTGACTGAATCAAACTTTTTATGCCACTAGCCTCTGTGGCTATTACCCATGACCTTGATTGTTTTAATGCAGAAGGTGCATGGATGAGGGGCACGTGTGCCTGATTGTGGGCACCTGGAGCTTAGGTGCATATGT